TAAATTGTTTGGGTTTAATGAATCTCAAGCTGCAGGAAATATGTGTGAGTGGGTGCCTTTGCCGTTGCTATGGGAACAGTTTTGTACAGCTACACCGGGGAGATTCACACAATCTGTTCTCTTAGTGTGGGATGCTGCTTGCTCTTTGAGAGTTGTGGTGGTAGTTGTGGCTGAATAATAGCTCCGAAATGGGGAGCAGTTTCGTATATATACACGATTTCCAAGAGGAGCTTCCATATGATCCATTGGCAAGTCCCTAATATTTAACCATAATCATAAGTTATGACTAAAATACACTGTGTATCACAATGAGTGTTCTTGAATTGCACGCAACTCAAGGATAGTAAATTGTACAATTCATTACATAGGTAAAAAGCTGAACTCTTGTTTCCAGCTGAGTGCCAAATGATGTCTTCCAAAACATTGTAACCTGTAATTTTTCTTCTGTTTTTTATGTTTGGCATTTCTTTGATGTTTATTTGGGATCTTCTTAACCTGCCTATTTTTTTTTTAAGAAATCTAAGAAAAATACAATATATTTGCAAAGATATTATTGCAAACACAAAGCCAACACTAGTTTTGACTTGTAAGATGCCAGATGAAGATGCATTAACATCTAATAAAAAGATGACTAACCTATATCAGAATGCATGAATTTTGGGGCCCAAGGCCAGAGTTATGAACTCAGAACTAAATCCAAGAGGTTTCCAGAGCCAGAACAATGACTAAATTTGATGTAATTTATGTTTATGCTTAATTACAATTAAATTTAATGAAGTGCTGTTCTTATGATGAACAGCACTTCATTAAATTTATTTGCCTGTATTTAACGTACCATGTCATGTTGCACTTTTGGAGGAAGTCTGAAGGATCCATTTAAAACTTTTGAGTCTGTATGCAATTTTGGGAACTTACGTTACAATGCTATTAAATGGCAACGTGTATGAAATAAGATGGGAAGTTGTATTGTTATTTCCTAGTAATAAAATTAGAAAAGTGTTTTCCTCTGACTGTGGGAGAATTCAGATTGATGACCCAGTGGCCAATCCTACCCAATGCAAACTCAAATCTTGCTCTCTCGGAAAAAAAACAGGATATGTCAAGCACTTCCTTTTTACATTGTTAACTGGACTTGTTCAGGAAAAAAATAACACAGACAGACTGCTGTACTGTAAGATAGAACAGCAACTGCTTGCTTTTGCTACTGTTAGTATGGGGAAAAGTGCTCCTATTCAAGTTATTTTAATGCTTGGGAATTAATGCTATTAAAGTGCATGAGATGTGCCCTCTTTTTCTCTCTATCCGTGGCCTGGTTCACTAAGCCGAAAGGAGAGTGAAAATGTTTTGGGTCCAGTATATTTTTCAAACCTAGACTTTTTTGACAATAAATTATAGTTTTGTGACAAGGTACAGTGTGTGAACCCAATCAGTTGTGGTTTATTTGGCAAACTCTGATCTATACTATGATTTATAGTATGATTTGGCACAGGAGTAGGCAATATTTAGAAGCATATTTAGAATTTCAAAAGCACATAATTAGGATACAGTTACTCCTCAACTTACAACCATTCATTTAGTGACAGTTTGACACTACAACAGCACTGAAAATGTGATTTATGATTAGTTTTCACATTTACTAGCATTGCAGCATCTCCTTGGACATGTGATCAGAATTCAGGTGCTTGGCAAATTGGCATGTATTTTACACTGTCCTGGGATCATGTGATCACTATTTGTAACTTCCTTAATCAGCTTCTGACAAGCAAAGTCAATGGGAAGCTAGGTTCACTTAATAACCCCATGATTCATGAATGACTGCAGCCATTCGCTTAACAACTATGACATAAAGGTTGTAAAATGGGATACACACAACTCATTAACAACTGTCTTGTTTAGATCAGAAATTTAGGGCTCAGTTGTGGTCTTAAGTTGAGGACTACCTATATTCATGAGACATCTGTCATAATACATATAGTCCATCACAAAATTCCCGCTTATCAGAAGAGCGAATGTGGTATATTGGTTAAAGCACCAGGGTAGAAACTTGGAAATTGAATGCTAATCAGGTATGCCAGGAATCAAAATTGACTCAAGGGCTTGTGCGTACATACAGAAGGCAAACTAGCATGCTAAAGTGATCACTCCTACAGGACAATTAAACGTTAAAATGAACAATGATAGATAGGTTGAATCATGCCTAAAAACCCCTAAAAGCTTTTGTAAAATGACAGGTGTGACAGGTGGAGAATTTCAGGTCCTGCTTCTGAATGGGGAAGGTGTTTATGGAATTGTCTTCTCTGGAAATCAGATTGACCACACACATTGGCTTTCCCTAAGCTTTTAAAAATCAAATTGTTTTGGAGATCCTAAAGAAGAAGAAATTTATCCCACTGATTCGTTCCTTGATTCATTTTATTTTATAATTTTAAATTTTATATTGTGATTTTGTTATTGTAAATTTACTGTACTATTGATTTGACATGGCTTTTGTTAACTGCTGAAAGTTGAAATGGTGGCAGGGATAAATCTACCGGTAATCAATAAAAACCAACATAAGTATTTTAGAACAAGCAGTGTTTTGACAGTTATACCATAGTTAACTAAATACATAATTAACATGAAATAATAGGGATATGGACACATGAATAAAAAGCAGTTCTCTACTTCTCCCCATAACCTCAAAATCAAATTCAAATAACTAAATGGATTGCTCATTTCGGTGATTAAAATAACATTTGCATTAGAATGATAACATTCATTTCCTTGAAAGTGCAGTAGAGGATAATCATGTTTTAATCTGATAACTAAAAAGAGGTTCCTGTCTGTTGAGGTATTTCCCGTTAGGAGAATGAGTGCACTCAGGGAAACGTAGTGAGAGTGGTGAGGAATAACACACAACCAGCATACAGATACACTGAATAGTAAAATGTAGGTTTTACTTCCTGTAAATGGATAAACAAAGTCCAACAAACAGTCCAAATCATACACGGTTAAAGCAGGTAATATTCAATACAACAGTCCAGGGATAATCCAAAAACGAAGTCCTTTTCTTTACCAGTATCATAAACAAAGTTCAGTAAACGGAATTTGCGAACAGTTGCAAGACTCACAACAATTCAGGCAGTATGACGTTCAGGCAAAAAGCATAAGGGTAATGCAAGAGGAGAACAAACAATCTTATGACCGTTGGAGGAACCTCAGCCAATCATAATTACATCATTCTCTTAAAGATATAACCGTATTAAATGACTATCCTGGTTTATATATTGCCAACCCAACTGTTAGGTGACTATCATTCCTAACACTGTCAAATTCTTCTATGAAAGGAAATATTTTTGGATACCAGAACTGGAAAGTGGGGGAGAATCTTATTGTTGTCCTCTCATTTTTTGTGGCTGGTGGCACTTTGAACCTACCCACTACAAAACTGGCAGGAAGAGCAACTGTATATAAAAGGGCAGTCAGTGAATCCTATACTCATTTGGGAATTAAACTGTTTTATTATCATTTCTATGACAGGCAAGATAAAACTATATAAACAGTCAGCAAAGCCCTTATTTATTTACACTGATGATGTTACCTGGTTGGGTAGTGAAATATCTGTAAGCAACAACCAAGCTGAGAGAGCACTGAGAATGCCACAGTTCAACCCTGAGCTACAGATATTCTCTTCTCTTGAAGTTTACCCTGATCATTTGATATAGGTAGAAATTAAAGGAAATGTCCTCCACCCCCCACCGCCCCCAATAACTCCTTGCATCAAGAGCCTGTAGTTCATTTTCACTGACTGGCTTTTCTGGTTTTGGGGGAATTGCTTTCTTGTCCTGGCATTTACTCTACCAACTGAGAACAACAATTTCTATAGCATTTTACACCTGATTTTTTATTAGCCTGCAGGTAGGGATAGATGACTTGTCCTCTAGCATTCACATTTTAAAATTCAATAACATATTTTGTATTTTATAAAGAAAACTTTGTTAGGATACAAAAATGGTTGTCCTCCAATATAGCTTGACCTAGATGGACAAATGGCTTGCCATTGCTTTCTTCCAGGATGACCAGGAGTCGGTGGGTGGTTTCATTTTTGTTTTTTACTCTAACTACTCTGTACAAGGAGAGATTTAACCTGGAATTAAGGAGAAACTTTCTGACGGTGAGAACAATCAACCAATGGAACAACTTGCCCTCGGAAGGTGTGGGAGCACCATCACTTGAGACTTTCAAGAAGAGATTGGACTGCCATTTGTCAGAAATGGTGGAGGGTCTCCTGCTTGGGCAGGGGGTTGGACTAGATGACCTACAAGGTCCCTTCCAACTCTGATTATCTGTTATCTGTTACTATCATATTATTAATGCATCTTATTTTGAGTGTCCTATATGTCCATATACTGTATTTTTAGTGAAGCCACTTCTATAGCATTTGGGTAATTCCAAATGGGTTTTTTCCTAAATTTTTTTGGAAGAAAGAAGCTTGGCTAGAGAAGAAAGAACATACTTTTTGTTCAATTTATCTGTTTTTTTCTCCCTTGCCCATTATGCATAACTCTTTTTTAAGTAAATGGACATGTATGCGACTATGCTGCTCTCATTCTGGAGGGGAACAGTTTCCATTATAGATAATACGATATAGATATAAATCTACATTTAATCAGTTCATGGCAAGAATCCTGAGCTTGTAGAAGGATAATCCACTCTGGCTTCTACCATTTCATGTTACTCTGATCTGACATTCCAGTGGAGTGTCTCTTCACATGGTTTATTCCAATGAAAGATATGCATGGCATGTAGATTGTTTTAACTCATCTGCTATCCTTGGAATGTGTTTAATAGCTATACACGCATAGATCCTTCTTCGTTGAATTTTCTGTTGATTATGCATTATGTAGTATAAAGTATGTTTTAATGTTGTCATAAATGTTGGCAGGTTTCCTGCTTTTCAGTGTTGAAAGCAAGTTAA